AATCCTCTAGTACTCTGCCTTATTAGAGAATGGACATTCTCTTTCTCCTGGTGACTATCAGTCTCTAAAGCTTGGTTTTGGGCAAAGCAGTACTGACTTGTCTCTGTTTCTATTGGAACCATCTGCCTTCCATTCTAAGGCTCATGTGTATTCTTAATTTTGCAACCTTTGGAGTGTCTGTCACCAAAAATAAGTACCATACAATAAATGGTGACCTGAGGATATAAACTAGGTAACATGTTTTCTGAATGTATTGTGTGTGCTTTTCTGAGAGAAATCAGGAGCTCACATTGCCACAACTTGCTAGAATCAGGTCTAAAATCTCAACCCATTTAGTCCTCCTCCAACTATGTAGTCTAAATCCTCATCCTGCTATTTAGAGGCTGGAAGATGTAACTTCCATGTTGGTGTGTAGAAGACAGGAAATAAGGTCATTAAACAAACCCACCCCCCACCACCCGCCAGGACATTACAGAATACAGGAAGAAAATCTACTGGATTTGATAGCCCCTCTCAAATGTGTGGGAGAAATTCAACCAATTTATGCTATTGTGAAATTCAGAATTCTTAACATCTAAAATTTTGATTCTTTTATGGTAAACTCCTCCCACACCATGCTATACAAATCCAGCCATCCCTGGGAACATTAAACATTTTCTTTCTTTATGACCAGGTAGATTCATACTAAAGTGTGTTCTTTACAAACTGACTTAAAGCTCATATTGTTTTATGAGTTTTATAAAAATATCTTTAAGTATAGAAGATAACCCAAACACCAGTTGGATGTTGGTTATTGAACAGGGGTGGAAGAAAAAAAATGGGAATTTTAAAAATGTGTTTAGAAAAGGTTGCAAATGCCACCAGGGCATATTTAGAGTAGTGTTTGCTTCTTATAAAACTAGAAGGTAATCTTAAATGATATGTCTAGTAGTTTTATTTTACATGAGCAATACTGGTAGTATTGCTGAATTGAATAAATTCATGATACATTTTTCAGTCCTTTTTCAGAGTCAATGTTTTTGCAATGGTAACAGTGTTTAGTTTAAATTCATCTTAATAAGTTGTTTCTTGGTATATACTTATACCACATATTATATGAAAAATGGAACTTGAAGCAATTCTTTCTTTAACAATCTTCATTAGAACTTTTTTTTTTAATTTGACTTGGTTTGATTTGGTTTTGGTTTGCTTTGGTTTGAAGAAAGAGGAACATGGCATTCTGTAGCCTCTCTGGAACAAAAATATTGAGGCACATGAAAAAATCTTTTATCGTAGTTCACTCATCTACAGCATGTTTTTCCAAAGAAAAAAATTTGTTCTCAGCTTTCAACACCTTCTCTTATTTTCCTTCTAATTCTAAATCAAATCTACATCATGCTTCCCAATAGGCTGAGTTCTGTTTCCTTCTGCTGCCCTCGTGTTCCTTGTCTTTTCTCATTTGCCAAATTCAAGTTTTGAAAACGCAAACATGACTGGAAGCTCCCAGAAGTTCCTTGGATCTTCTCCTGACAACCACCAAGAACAATCATTAGGAGAATTTCCAAATCTGAGATGCAATCAGATTGTGAAACTACAAAGTCTTAGTGACAGGATTGACATTTTCTCGTGTTAACTTCTTCCAACCTAGAATTATCCTACCTCTTCACTTAAATTTTCAGTTATGATTTGATCGTATTTTATTGAATAAAGTACTTCATAGGTGCCTAGAAATTACATAGAAAAAACAAACAAACACCTATTTATGAACATCAAATTTCCTCAGTATCAACATTTCCCCTTACATGTTTCATATTTTTTTAACCAATGAAACATCATAGATGCTATCATACATATTATTCAAAACTAAATTCTTTATCTACAGTCTTGCAGTTGTTATATATACTTCTTTTCTTTTAACAAACTAAATTTGCCTCATATCCACATTTCAGCAAGTGATGTGTGCAATCATTCAAATTTCATGGATTTTTATATTTATAAGGTTCATCTCCTTGCCACTTAAAATGGAATTTTCTGAGGTGGCTATAAGCATATATCACTATGTACTTTGATTTTTTTTTTGTTTATCATTTGGATTTTTAAGGTGTAAGTAGCTTCCACCTACTGGTTCTATCTGCTGGATGCAACTATAAAGGGTGTGAAGGGTTTCTCCATGATATAAATGTTGGGGGAGTGATATAAAAAGCATGCCTTTTGCATTCCCTAGATACTGACAAACTCCTCACTCCAAGGCAGTTGCACCAATATACCTGTCCCATCCATGTAGGAGCCTCCATTCCAGTCCGTTTTTATAATCACCTAGTATTGCTGTAGAATATAGTTTAAGATGTGTTACAACTGTTTATGCTGTGGAATATTTGTTTAATGATGCAAAAATGTGTTTCATTCTTCTATGTTGCACTTGTTTAACTCTATAAAGCTGTGTTACTTTGCCCACCTAAAATATCTGATTGGTCTAATACAGAGAGCTGAATGATCAATAATTAGACAGGAGAGAGATAGGCGAGGCTGCCAGGCAGAGAGAATAAATAGGAGAAATCTGGGCTAGAGAGAAGAGCAGGAAGTGAGAAAAGGAGGAGAGGAGGATGCCAGGGGGCAGCCACTCAGACACACAGCCAACCACAGAGTAAAAAGGAAAGAAAAAGATATAGAATAAAGAAAGATAGAAAGCCCAGAGGCAAAATGTAGTTAAAGAAAAATGGTATAATTTAAGTTAGAAAAGCTAAGCTGGCTAGAAACAATCCAAGATAGTGCTGGGCATTATAAGTAAGGATAAGTCTCTCTATGTTTATTTGGGAGCTGGGTGGTGGGCCCCCAAAGAGTAAAAAAAAAAAAAAAAACAACTACATAGTATTGTCATATATATTTTCTTTTTTGGCAAATTGATAAGTACAAAATGAAATATTGTTATTACTTTAATGTTCTTTTCTCTGGTAAATCCATCTTATGTCTGAACAACTCATTTGTTATCTGCTTATTTTATATATTTCTTTTTCCATATCTTGCACTTAATAGATCTTGTGCTTCTGTCTACTACCCTGGTACTCTAATATTATCCCTATGTCTCATACAAAAATCCGACTGTCCAGCAAATCAATTCCTACATCAATATACCCCTTCCACAAAACAATCTGTTCATTCAGTTTATTCATCATCTAAATTTTGAGATGATCCTATCATATCTCCTAAACTCTTGTCCTGGAAAGTAGACAGTTATGTATTAAAGTTGCATATTAATTTCAAGAGAAGTTGCAAGTTTAAACATCATTCCTTGCTTGTGAGGGTGACCCATTGCTTTGTTTGCCTTCAGCAAAGATTTATATTGTTCTTCATGAGCATTTGTGCTTGTTCTATGACACTCATTTCTATGCAGCTGGTATGTTTTGTTGCTATTGCCTTTTCAAAAACAAAAAAAAAATGCACTCTCTTTTTTATATTTATCTTGTATGTTGCAACTTAAGTGAATTCTATTGGTTCTTAGATTTTTGTAGATTTTCTATTTTTTCAATTATATCCTCAGAAAATAACTTCAGTTCTTTCCGATACTTACACTCCTCATTTCTCTTTCACAATCTATTACTTGGCGTAGAGTTTCCAATTTGTGGTAAATGTTAGCAGATGGAGAAGACCTTCTTCATGCCTTCTGACTTTCAAAAAGCGTATGGCTGAATGTTTGCCCTTAGGTGTACTACATCGTGTAGCATTTATACATACCCTTAGTTATGCTAAAAAAAAAAATCCCTTTATGTCCCTCCTTTGGTAATTGGTATGAGCATGTGACTTTTCTCCATTAGTTAATGAATAAATTATTATAGTAAAATTATTTGGAGAAACATCTTTGGGCTAATTTGCCATTAAATTGTTAAGAAAACATCACTTTTCATGGTTTTTATCAATTTCATTAGTTCTAATTTGCTTTTAAACATTAAGGCTTTTACACTGAGACTCATCATTTTGCTGCTTCAGACAGAATTTTCTGAAGTAATCACAGATAAATTAAAATCATGGTTTAAAGGTTTCTTCTTGTTGTACTTCTATTACTTTTACTTTACATAGCTGTAAGCTATATTATTAGGTGTATATTGGCTTAAATTTTCAATCCTTCTAGTACAGTGGTTCTCAACCTTCCTAATGCTGCAACCCTTTAATACAGTTCCTCCTGTTGTGGTGACCCCCCCCACCATAAAATCATTTCATTGCTACTTAATAACTATAATTTTGTAACTGTTATGAATTGTAATGTAAATATCTGATATGCAGTCTATCTGCTATCTGACCACGTAGGGGTCATGACCCATGGGTTGAGAACTGCTGTTCTGGTAAGTTTAGCCCTTTCGATGTTAATTTTTATCTCTTTGATCTCCAGTGATTCCTTTATCATGACATCTGTTTTTTTTTTTCTGACACTCATGTTCTTATTCTCTTTTGGGTAGTGAAGCTCTTGCCATCACTTTAAATTGTTCTGTCACCTTATTTCAGGTGTGTCTTCTGAAATGTGCAGCTAGATTTCCGTTTACCATTCCCAATGGAGATTCTTGGGTGGTGGTGGTGGTGGTGTGTGTGTGTGTGTGTGTGTGTGTGTGTGTGTGTGTGTGCGCGCGTGTGTGTTTGCCTTTTATAAGATCAGTTTTCTTTTCTTCATTTAAAGCACTTTTTCCTTTGTTTTTTTTGCATCTGAATTATATGAATCAGTCTAATTCTGTAATAATCATTAAAGGAACAGGTATTAATTGAAGGTCCTTGACAGAGGGCTCACTATATATGAGGCCTCCAAGTTTAAAGACAGTTCCACACACACACACACAGGAACAACAGGAATGAGTGGGTAAATTCTTAGAAACCTCATTCTGCTGTGATTGAAAGGTATAATTTGCCTTGATTGGGAAGTTCAAAAGAAAGAGCAACTCGAAAACTAATCCTGCTAAGAGAAGGGTCGATCCTACAAAAAGTTCATACCATGCAGTTTACCAAAAAAGAAATAAGATGTCCTTGTAAATGCAAACCTTCTTTGGGAGGATTGTCCATCATTCACTCTGCCACATCCATTAATGAGTAACACTTTAACAAGGAGTGTGTGGTTTCTCTCCCATAGGAATCTAGATGGGAAAGCAGAAGTGGGGAGGAAGAGAGGATGCAAATGAACAAACATGAGCAAAGTACAGTGATATATATGTCAGAATGAAGCCTATCATTCTTTGTAACAACTAAAAATAATGATAAGAAGAAATTTCTTGAATGAGCATTGTGTGTCAGACACTATGCTAGCACAACTAAGCAATACGGGTGCACTCTACGGGCTCTTGGCTATTGGGGTTCAGTAGACAAACCAAGGCAATCTATGTCCCAGGTCTCTGCAGAATGTGGCCTTTTAAGAAGGAGCGAGTCCAGTCATTCTGCTAGGACATGCCTGAATGTCTCTGTACTTGGTGCCACTTTTCAAGAGCATCAGTATTGCGTGAACCTGGTTCTGAACCACACCTCCACTTAGGTGCTGTTCCTTCTGCTTTCTATGTGTGGTCTAGCCATCCCGTACACACCATTCTTCACAGTCCATTAATCCTGAAATGGAATACCTGCAACATGAAGTTTTATATGACTTTTACCCCACCAAAAACTTTCCCAAAAAGCATTCTCCTTCTGTTCCACGGGCCCTGAGAGCTGGAGATGTAGAGAATAGCTTTAGGAATGTTGGCATTTACCCTTAACAACTGTTACTGGACCTTGATCTGATATTGGCAAAAGGCCTTGGAGGCAAAGGCAAAGTTCATTTGTACTCAGAACTTAACTAATCATTAAGTGGTAAACCTGAGTGCCATCTCCCCTTACAGTCACCGATGAAGTCTGCCAGCTTTCATGTTCAAGAAGAAATTCTCAAATTTCCCAATCTGCTAAAATACACTCTTCATTTGGGGAAATTCATTATCTTGGAAATAGCTTCAGGTGGAGGTGAGACTCAGATCTTCTATTCCCTCTCCCCCCGTTTACTAGCTGTCTTGACAGAGAAGTTCTTCTCTGATTCTGGTGTATAATTAGGAAGAGTATGCTTCATCTGCCCAAAGAGGAGTGAAAAGAGAGCAATTAAAAATGGTCTCTCCTAAATTTCTTGTAACTCAGAGGCAACATCTATTGAACTGGTATCCTGGAAGGAACCTTGGGCAAGATTTGGATGGATATTCCAAAGAACTCTTAGGGTGAAGGAGAAGTTTTTCTAGATGGAATCTCTCTCCTCACCCTCCCAGTTTTCAGACTCAGTTGGATATTAACTTTACAGAAGTCAAATGAAAAACATCTTGAAAAAAAATGGCTTTATGAAACATTAGTTAAACTATAGATTGATGCTCTCTTATTGGTATATGCTTAAGATGTACCTATGTGTTAAACTGGGAACCTTCTTCAAAGAATTTGTTCAAAGGGGGGAAAATTAAGTACACGCAATTTTGTGAACAAAAAAATGGTGAAGAAGGAGATATTGAACAAGCTGTGTCTTGTAGTCAAGCTCAGGAGCTGTTGCTCTTATCCCTGCAGGAAGACGCTGAACAGACTGAAATTAATTCTCTTCCTTGAATCCAGTAGAGAAGTAAAGTTGCAAAGTGAATTACTGTCCTGAAACATAAAAACAGGTACATCCTAACAGGTGCAAATGAGCTCTTACCTGGAGCCGACGCCACCGGTTCTATAACTCTCAGGAACATTTAAATAGTGATGTTGGCAAACTACTAGAGCTGAGGTATTCACTAACATGAAAAGAGAAAGCCTCTGGCAGCCACCACCAGGATGATTCCTCAACCTTTATTTGTCTTGTTTATAAGAACATGCCGAGGTTTAGATCACCTTATTCCTGTGGCTGTAAAAAAAAAAAAAAAAAAAAAAAGGCAGAAATACACTTAGCACCTTCCTTCCGTTTAGCAGGAATCTGTTCTCCAGGGAGAATGACTTTGCCAAAGCCCTATATGGGGAAGGATATTCTCTAGCACCCCATACTTTTCTGTCACAATTAAGGGATAAAATAACAAAAAACAAAAAACAAAAAAAACAGTAACAAAAAAGAGCTTCAAAAGCTAGGCTGAATCTGGCAAAAAGAACAGGCAGGGGTGCTTTGCCTGTATTACTTTGTTTCGTTTCTTAAGTTACTCTGTCAGAGAAGGAACTGTGAAGTCCCACTCCAGAGCCATGCACGCACGGAAGACTGAAGGCTACTCTTGGGATTCTAGGACAGCAATGTGCATCTATAGCTCTACAGTTAAATGAGCTGCCAGGCTGTAGGGATGGCTCAACGGGGGCACTTGCCACCAAGCCTGACGGCCTGAGTTTGATCCCCTGAAAGGAAGAGATCTGACTCCTGAAAGTTGTCCTCTGGTCTCCACATGAAGAATATGCGTATATGCATATGACCACACACACACACACACACACACACACACACACACACACACACAC